TTATGTTTTTTTCTTAAAAAAAATATTTTTAAACAAAAAATTTTTTTATTTATTTATTTTATTTTATAAATATTTTTTTTTTTTTTTTTTCGTGTCAAGTTTGCCTATGTTTATAGCTCACACGGACTGTTGGACAGGGCAGTGATGTTACGGTTAGAGTTGGGACTCCATTGATATGCTGGCTCGCATTGCCCTATTTTAGCCTAAAGCACGGACTATGGTGTTATTTCTTTGTCACTTTCATGTTTTCTGACCACTAAATTAATCCATTATATCATAATGCTTTTTCTTTAAAGAACGTCTACAAACTTTAATTTTTACATTTTAACTTTATTAAGCTATGTATAAGAGATTAAAAAAATAACTTTTAATCTAAAACATTAAAAAGGTAAGTTTATGATTTTTTTTTTATTATTTATATATTGTTTGCTCATCTTAATGTGAGATTTTCGAATCAAATTTAAAATAATAGATCTACCAAATCTTTCTTTGGTATTGGTTGATCAACTAAAGAAGATCTTTTATAAATCTCCAACATGTTACTGATACTTATTTTTATTCAAGGTTTTTCGGTCTTTATTTTATTTACATTGATATTCTTTGACATCTTTTAATTTAAATGTCAAAATGTATTGCTTAACACATAATAAAAATGTCGATCTTGATTTAAAATGATTATACATTCAACTTTAACGTTTAAGAAACAGAATCTAAATTTAAGGAGTAGAAATATATATATCATTTTAAAAATTTTGGAAGAATGGTAAAAAAAATTATGGGGTGCAAGAAGCAAACAAACATATGATTTTTCGAAGTTATAGTATTTTTTGTCTTAACTCGGCAAACTTGAACAAAAAGATTACGATAATGATTGGAAAACATTTCTATAAATATATGGAATACCAAGATAGGAAAAAAAATAATCAAACAAATTTTCATTAACTAATATTACCTAGTGTTTCGGTTGCGAGATCGAGTCACCAAACACCTTCACAATTTGTTCTCTTCCACCACTCGGTCTTGCTCTCTGGTCTCCTATCTCGCTTTCCCGTTCGGAGGTGTACTTTTTCGTAATTCAATGTAACAGTAATAAATGCACAATAAATGCGATCCCTTACCTCTTTTCTTTGACCTATATTTATAATTTTTAGCGTGGGTCCGAGATTAATGATATCTTAATATCGACCCATTTCGGGTCCATTACCCTTAATCATGATTTACCTTAATTTTTGTGGGATTAATTTGTTTATTTGTCGCAAACTGACCGTCCTTTCCAAGTGTCACTCTTTCTTGTCGTAGTCGTCGTCCGATCATACACTACACCTAGTTTATATACATAAATTGAAAGTATAAAATATTTTTTGCAAATATGATTTATACTTAACTAATTTAACGTTTGAAAAATATTTATTCTTTCCTAAAATATATCACTTAATTTTAGTTTGTTTAAAATTGTCCCATCCACACTTTAATTAGCTTGAGTTGCTTCTTTGTTGTAGAGTAGGCGGCTGAGGGCATCTTCCGTTAGTCAACTCCATTCATTGATAACCCTTCAATTCCTCTCTCTCTCTACCAAGCTGCTTTCTGGTTTGAATAAGAAATGCTCCACCAGTTAATCTATCAGTGTGTGTTGAACACAAAAAACGAAGAATCTGAACTCTAATCCAGTTTGATAAATCACTTAATAAGCTTCTTAACAACCTTAATTACTATCTATACATAGTTTTACATATCTGTTTCCTTTGCTTCATAGAATTTTTATATATTGGCTACTGTCAATTTTGAAACATTGTAGATTCGCTGAGGACCATTTGTGTTTCAAGGGATGAATGTGGCACTCTTATCACTTTAGCTTAAGAATGAAAGGTCCTACTCTACAAATGTCAATCTTAGGTTTTTTGATCTATGGTGCATTTCTAACTGTTTAGATTCTATTGTCAATATGCCAATTATGATGTAAGAGGCGAGAAGAGTGGAGGGGTAGCTTAACTTACTCATCTTAATTAAAGGTTAATTAACGTCAAAATTTCTAATTAAGCAACTTATATATGTACGTGTTGATCACGATTTCTGAGACCAACATGCACTACAGTGTCATCAATCATCATTAATCTTCGTCAAAAAGTCAAACCTTGCTCAATGTTTTTGCAATGTAGAAGATGGAACCACTTCCTCCTTTGTTATCTGTAGCTAAATTGTATAGAGAGGCAAGAAAGCTAAATTTTTGTACCTTCAACAAAATGCTGAAACTTGAGCTACTGGTCTTAATAACCTTGATATGGTGGAGCTCTGATAATATTCATGCATATGGTGCAGTTGAAAATATGCAGACAAATCTACTAAGCAAGGGGTGCAGCGCATACAACGCATCCAACTTGGGTAGCTTCTTTGCCAATATCAATGAAACTTTTGCAGGCCTCAGAGCACAAATTAGCAGTGATAAGAACAAGCATTTTGCCATAGAAGACAAAGCCAGGGGAGAGGTGATCACCTATGCTATGTTTCAATGCAGAAACTATCTCTCCAAAACTGAATGTCTTTCTTGCTTCGACACTGCCACCTCCGAAATCCGCAACTGCTCTGCTGCTAATGGCGCCAGAATCACATACGACTCCTGCTTCCTCAGGTTTTTATAAAAAACATACTTTTTCCACTATAATATCTATGTTACCTATGAGTTATTGGTTCATTAGTAAGTGGTTGAGCATTTGAGCCAGAAAATATATCTGATTTTGATGTTGGATATTCTGAAAATGTGAGATGAGGTATGAGAGCGAGAGGTTCTACGATGAAACCAATGAACCTGGCGGTGGAGTATCATGTGGGAACACGAGTTCAACTGTCACTGGTTTTAAAGTAGCTGCACAACCGGTGTTAATGGAGCTCCAGCAAGCAACACCCAAAATTAAAGGTTTTTATGCGGCTACTAAGACACTGGTTGCTGGTGGTAGTGCAATTTATGCCGTTTCACAGTGTGTTGAAACGGCCATGAAGACTAGTTGTCTGAACTGCCTACAAGTTGCACAGGACAACTTACAACGTTGTCTTCCCAACACAGATGGGACAGCATATGATGCTGGCTGTTTTATGAGATACTCCACCACACCTTTGTTTGCTGATAATCAGACTATTGATATTGCACCCTTTTTAAAACAAGGTAAAGTTGTAAAACCATTCCCTTTCTTTTGATGTATCTGTTATGTATTTTTGTTTTAAATGTTATTGTCCGTTTTCATTGTTTTGATGATTTTGAATGCGTTTTCAGAATAAAAATAGAGTTTCTAGTGAAAAAACACGCCTTCAATAATTTTTTTATGGTAGACCTCGTTTGGAACTGATGTCAAATTTCTTACTTCATCGCAGGAGGTTCAACGAAAAAGTGGAGTATTATAGGTGGTGGTGTTGTTGGAGCTGCTCTTCTGCTCCTTCTGTTGTTTGCTTGGATATGGTTTAGAAAATCTAAGGGGGTTCAAAGAGGTATGTAAATATGAAAAGTCTTCAATGCAATGCTTGCTATTAATAGTTCACGCTTTGCATTTTTAGTGCTTTTCAGTTGTACAATATATATAAAATGATATGTAGTACGAAAAGGATTTCTTCAGTGCAATTTTGTTCTTCAACATCTGTTTTTTCATCCAATAACTCCACATTTTAAGCCTTTCAGTTTCCTTCATGGTTGGCTTTTGATTATTGAGTGGATAATATGTTTTCTCAAAAGATCTGTTATTAAAATGTTCTATTTATAAGCACAAAATAAGCAAATCAAGAAGTCATATCTTGTTTTTATTACAAAATCATAAGTGGTGTGCGTTCTTAATTAGCAGGTGACATATTGGGAGCAACTGAGTTGAAAGGTCCAGTTACGTACAAATATAATGATTTGAAAGCTGCAACAAAAAAGTTCAGTGCTGAAAACAAACTTGGGGAAGGAGGTTTTGGAGCTGTATACAAGGTAAATTTATGTTGTATTTTCTACGCTGTCATGAAAACCATTTACTATTTTCCCTTTTCAGTCACACAAGCTACTTTTAACAGGGTACACTGAAAAATGGAAAAGTTGTTGCTGTAAAAAAACTAGTTTTAGGGAAATCAAGCAAGATGAAGGATGATTTTGAAGGTGAAGTGAAGCTTATAAGTAATGTTCATCATCGGAATCTAGTTAGACTTCTTGGTTGCTGCAGCAAAGGCCAAGAGAGAATCTTGGTTTATGAGTATATGGCAAATAGCAGTCTTGACAGATTCTTATTCGGTACATAATTCATGTCAAACACTGAGAGAAATTAATTTTTCTTTTACAAATATATTCATTTTTTCCCCATCTTGGCAACAATCTTACTTGGGATATAAACAGGTAACAGAAAAGGCTTCCTCAGTTGGAAACAACGCTATAATATAATTTTAGGCACAGCAAAGGGACTAGCATATCTACATGAGGAATTCCACGTGTCCATCATACACAGAGATATCAAGACTGCTAACATCCTGTTAAATGATGATCTTCAGCCAAAAATTGCTGACTTTGGGTTGGCAAGGCTTCTCCCAGAGGATTGTTCACATCTCAGCACAAAATTTGCAGGAACATTGTAAGTTAAAACTAATGCGTTAACATTGATTTCTTTACATTTAACCGAGCATCAAGTCATTTCAAAAGAGACAGATTAAAAGCTTATGTAGGAAAAACATAACATGCCATCTGTGAGTGGTGTTTTATCAGAAAGCTTATGCACTTGCAGGGGATACACAGCTCCTGAGTATGCAATGCATGGTCAATTATCAGAAAAGGCTGATACCTACAGCTTCGGTATTGTAGTGTTAGAAATCATAAGTGGTCAAAAGAGTACTGATCTGAAGGGTGATGAGGAGAGCAGTGAATATCTTCTTCAACGAGTAAGCAAGTTGATATAATTAACTGGGAATTATTGTTTTTCTCTTGACATGATACCATTGCTTTGATTTTCACTTAACAGTCATGGAAACTGTACGAGAGAGGGTCTCACCTGGAGCTGTTGGAAGAGGGCATTGACCCTGATGAATATGATGCGGAAGAAGTGAAGAGAATAATAGAAATTGCTTTGTTATGCACTCAAGCTACAGCTGCAGCGAGGCCAACAATGTCTGAAGTAGTAGTATTACTCAAAAGCAGGAACTCAGTGGAGCACCTCCGACCAACTATGCCTGTGTTTGTTGGAACGAATGTGATGACTCGGGAAGGCAACTCTACAAGTTCATCCAATGCTAATGCTTCCATTTCTATTGTATCAGCTCGATGATAATGGGATGTAGAAAAGGGTCTTGTTCACTTCAACTAACAAGTTGACAGAGTAATTTAGATAGATGTGGATTGCTTTTCACTTCAGTTGTTTATGAATGGTACAATTAAAGTAGAACGTATGTTAGTGACAGGTGGTGTTGACCATACACCTTGTTCAAAATCATGTAAGTTTGAGTCCAATTTGACTTCTTTTTTTTTGTTGGTTTTGTCGAATTTGATTAGCTATTTACATGTGTTTCTACCTTATCTAATATAGTCCTATTAGCTTAGAAGCCGAAGTGAAACACAATTTAAATACTTATTTCTTTGAATGTGTGTTTTAAAGATAAAACTGGAATTTCATGCTCGAAAGTGAACCATAGTTATATCAGATGTACAGTGATTAATCTTAACGCGTTTGGATATCTTGAAAAGTGTCCTAGTTATAGTACTCGTGCATCTTGTTTAAAAAAGTAATTAATCTCATTTAACTAGCTGTTACATGTGTGGGAGATCGTCTCAGTTTCATACAATACATTAACCATACCAAACAATTTATTTGGGTACTCTTTATTTGTTTTAAACAACTCAATTAATTTATTGTAACTGGAATCCCTCCTTAAACTCAAGAGTTGCATGTGTTTTATATCCTTCTCGTACATGTAACTGGAACCCCAACTAAACTCATGTGTTCATATTGCAAATATGTGGATAATATTATTAATCAAAATATGTATTTTATTACTTCATTAATTACTAAAATATAAGTGGTTTAAGATATTTAATTTGTAATAGAATGAACATGCTAAATCATCATGGAGTTGCATATATTTTCCAAAATTGTCTAAAGTCTACTTTTGAGTGCGCCACTATATGAAGTGGGTCGCTATGGAAATCATTCACTTATTGCATCTCTCTCTCTCTATATATATATATTATAACTTCTAAACGTAACCAAATACTTGTGTATTCTGTCTCTTAATATTTTAAACAGCTAGAAGTTGTGATGATGAAACCTAATCTACTGGTCTTAATCTTGATATGGTGCTGCACTATTAATATTGTTCATGCATATGGTTCAGTTGCAAACCCACAAACACATTTTCTAAACCAGAGGTGCAGCAAATACAACGCATCCAACTTGCGTAGCTTCTTTGGCAGTATCAATGAATCGTTTTCAAGGCTCAGAGATCAAGTTAATAATCATAGAAAACACTTCGTCACCGCAGAATCACAAGCCAGGGGAAAGATCCTCACACATACTATGTTTCAATGCAGAAACTACCTCTCCAGAATTGACTGTCTTGCTTGCTTCAACACTGCATCCACCCAAATCCGCAACTGTTCTTCTGCCAAAGCTGCTAGAGTCATATACGATGGCTGCTTTCTCAGGTACGAGAGAGGGAGGTTCTACAATCAGACCACTGAACCTGACAATGGTGTCTCATGTGGGAACATGAGTTCAAATGCCACTAGTTTTAAATTAGTTGCAGAAAAAGTGTTAATGGAGCTCCAAACCACAACAGCCAAAACCAAAGGGTTTTATGCAGCTACTAAGACAGAGGTGGCTGGTGGTAGTGCAATTTATGCCATTGCTCAGTGTGTTGAAACTGCCACAGAAGATGTCTGTCTGCAATGCATGACTGTTGGATACAACAACTTACAAAGTTGTCTTCCCAACACAGAGGGTAGAGCATATGATGCTGGTTGTTTTGTGAGATACTCCACCACACCCTTCTTTGCTGATAACCAAACCATTGATATCACACCCTATTTAGATCAAGGTAGAATTTCAATAATTCCAATTTACTTTTTATGAAGGGTTAGATCTATGTTGATTGAACATGTCCTTACTTGCTTGTTTGTTTAAGAGACGGACCTACTTTAAAAAACTTTTAAGAAAATGATACATTAATGATCAAGATTAAACTTGGTCTAAGATATTTTATATACAAACATCTTTTTTAATCATTATACTTGGTCATGGAGTTGAAGGCACATCATATATCTATACCAAATTGCTTAGATTCTCTGGTGAGTGCTCCACTATAAGAGGTGAGAAGGTGGTAGCCTTACTTATCTTGAAATGAAATCATTCATGCACCTGTTGAAGTGAACTTCTGTATTGACTCAGCTTTCTGAGTCCACCATCCACTACGGTGCCATCATTAATCATTCATCAACTGTCAAGCTTCAATGGTTTTCCACCATAGAAGATTAAACTCCCTCCCTATCTAAGTAAACAAAAAAGAACCTTCCTGTGAGACTATATATACACAAAGAAGATTAAAACAGGATAAGCTATGACTGAAAAAAACTTGTCTGATGGTGAAAGTTAGTGGCCTAAACCTTGATGTGGTGCTGATAATGTTGTTCATGGCGCAGTTGGAAATCCACAGCCATATGTACTGAACAAGGGGTGCAGCTCATACAACTCATCCAACTTGCCTAGCTTCTTTGAGAATATCAATGAAACGTTTTCAAGTCTGAAAGCACAAATTAGCAATAATCAGAACAAGCACTTTGCCACAGCAAATAGCACCAGGGGAGAGGTGCTAACATATGCTATGTTTCAATGCAGAAACTATCTCTTCAAAACTGAATGTCTTGCTTGCTTCAACACTGCCTCCACCCAAATCCGCAACTGCTCTGCTGCCAACGGTGCCAGAATCATATACGACGGTTGCTTCCTCAGGTTTCTTATTCACATTACACATTAAACACACCACATGCTACACATAATTTTATTTGGATCTTTTTGGTCAAATATAGAGTCAATTTGTTTATATGTTTGAATTTGATGTCGGTTGGTTTGACAAGGTACGAGACTGGGAGGTTCTACGAAGAGACTACTGAACCTGGGAATGGTGAATCGTGTGGAAACACCAGTGCAATGGTTGTTGGTTTTAGCTTAGCTGCTCAACAAGTGCTAATGCAGCTCCAAACAGTAACACCCAAAATCAAAGGTTTTTATGCAGCTACTAAGGCAACAATGGCTGGTGGTGGTGCAATTTATGCTGTTGCACAATGTGTTGAAACTGCCGCAGAGAATGATTGTTTGAGATGCATGCAAGTTGGATACAACAACTTACAAAGTTGTCTTCCCAACACAGAGGGTAGAGCATATGATGCTGGTTGTTTCATGAGATACTCCACCACACCCTTCTTTCCTGATAACCAAACCATTGATATCACACCCTATTTAAAACGAGGTGAATTCATGACAGCAATTTCCTTCCTTTGTTTTTTAGATTAGTGAATGTATGTGATGCTCTAGCTGATTTTTACTTATATAATGAGTGTTCTTAATTTTACATAACTTGGAAATTTTGAGTAGTTACTGTTAGAAAAATTAACCCAGATAACATAAAATCAGTTAATAAAAACAGTGCAACCGAGTTAATACTTTTTTGTATTGCAGGAGGTTCAAGAAAGAAGTGGATCATTGTAGGTGTTGTTGTTGGAAGTGGAGGTCTACTTCTCATCATCCTTGCAGTGTTTGCCTTTCGAAGATCCAGAAAACCTAAGAGGTTTCCAAGAGGTAAGTTATAAATTTTGAAATCTTTAACTTCATTATGCTTGATATTAAATATCGGTGCTTTGCATCTCATATCAGTGCAAATTGCAATTGTAATCTCTTTTGATCACAGATTTCTATTTTAAAATAATCTTGTTATTCCAAAGAACAAAAGTTAGACCATTTATATAAAGTTAAAGTTAGAAATGCTTTATCTACTTGTTTGTAATGAAGAAAATTCGTTTGAGTTGCTTATATTCTTGTACTAAATTTTCGAGTCAAATGATACAGATTGTTATTTAGAAAAAAAAGAAAAACTACAAAACATTGTTGGTGTTGGGAAAGAATACATATTCAGACTTCATGTCAAGAATACAAGAGTTTTATCCAAAATTCTGTAAATCCAAGAAGACATTCTTGTTTTAATTTATCAGAAAATCAAACCTACTTTATATTCCTTCGCAGGTGATATATTGGGAGCAACCGAGTTGAAAGGTCCAGTTAATTACAAATACGCCGACTTGAAAGGAGCAACACAAAATTTTAGCAACGAAAACAAACTTGGAGAAGGAGGATTCGGTGGTGTATACAAGGTAACTGTTGTGTTTAAGTATTGCAATGGAGAGCATGTTCAAAAACACAATAAGGATATTCTAAAATGTTAATGCTCCAACAACTTTAATAACAGAGAAAAATCACTTTCGTTCTAAAATTAATCAATGATATTGATCAGGGTACTCTGAAAAATGGAAAAATTGTTGCAGTCAAGAAATTAGTGTTGGGGAAATCAAGCAAGATGGAGGATGATTTTGAGAGTGAAGTGAAGCTAATAAGTAATGCTCATCACCGAAATCTGGTTAGACTTCTTGGTTGCTGCATTAAAGGAGAAGAAAGAATCCTGGTTTATGAATACATGGCCAACAGTAGTCTTGACAGATTTTTATTTGGTAACTTTCAACCTCTAATATAGAATAATATCATTTTCTTAAAATTATATTATTTTCCTTCTCTTTTTCACCCATTTTTAAGTCCATGATACAAACCTGATGGAAACAGGTGACAGAGGTCCCTTGAATTGGAAACAACGGTATGATATAATTTTGGGCACAGCAAGAGGACTAGCATATCTACATGAGGACTTCCATGTCTCCATCATACATAGAGATATCAAAACTGCTAATATCCTTCTGGATGATGATCTTCAGCCTAAAATTGCTGATTTTGGGTTGGCAAGGCTTCTGCCAGAGGATCGTTCTCACCTTAGCACAAGATTTGCAGGAACATTGTAAGTCAGAACAATTTGCATTTCTTGACATTCATGTTGGAAAAATGTAACATGTTATCTGTAAGTGTTCATTCATCAACTACGGACTGCTACATGTTCTGTGCACTTGTCAGGGGATACACAGCACCTGAGTATGCAATGCATGGCCAATTATCAGAGAAGGCTGATACCTACAGCTATGGCATTGTAGTCCTAGAAATAGTAAGTGGCCAAAAGAGTACAAATGTGAAAGAAGATGAAGATGGTCGTGAATACCTTCTTCAACGAGTAAGTGATTTTTCTCATGGATTTGTTAGCTTTTTCATGTGGGATGGTTGAACTTTGAATTTCACTCAACAGGCTTGGAGACTGTATGAGAGAGGCATGCAGTTGGAGCTTGTGGATGAGGCCATAGACCCTAATGAGTATGATGCAGAAGAAGCAAAGAAAATTATAGAAATTGCGTTGTTATGCACTCAGGCATCAGCTGCAACGAGACCAACAATGTCTGAAGCAGTAGTGCTACTGAAAAGCAAGAGCTTCCCAGACCACCTGCGACCAACTATGCCTGTGTTTGTTGTATCCAGTTTGAAGTCTCGAGAAGACAATTCTAGGTCTGTCTCAACTACTGCTTCTTCATCCAATGCTACTGCCTCCATTTCTTTGCCATCAGCTCGATGAATGTAACAGACTAAAATGAACAATCAGAGGATTTATCTTTATTCCATCCCTATCAATCAAACAACTTGAACGTATGTTGTAAAATAGTATTGTGGGGTTGTTGAGTTGGTGTTAAGAATTCATGTAGAGTTAAAAGTTCCAAGTTGAAATCAGAAAGTTTAGCCTACCTTAACATATATGTACCAGTCCAGCCACATCAAAGTGCGTCTACCTAAGTTAATTTATTTTTTCAATGTCTATTATTTATTATAATATAAAAATATTAGAAAAATTATTTTATTGAACATATTTATTTTTCTGATAAATAGTTTAAATGTTAGCTGTTTATTCAATTACAATTTTTAATTTTATATATATATATATATATATATATATATATATATATATTTTATTGTCACATGTGTTTAAGTTAATATAATCTTTTACTCGTTTATTTTGTTTTTATACCGAAGAGAATATATTTCAACTTTATTATTTTGTTAATTAATATAATTGATTATTATAAACATTGAAATCTATTATGTATGATTTATATTTAAATTATTAATCTTTTTATACTTTCTTTTTTCATTTTTAATTCCACCTATTCATCTTTTCTAATTACTTAATCATTTAATTAAATTAAGTTTTAAAAAAACGTATTTACCTTTATTTTTTAAAATGATGACATGATATGTTGATATGTTTGTTTTGAAAATAATAGGATACTATATATACGATATATAGATATTGAAAAATGTATAAAATTTCTTAAAAACATAATTAATATATGATTGTTTGTTTGAATCTAAATTAAAATCATATGTATTAAACGTTATCAAAATCAAAATTTATAAATTATTATCATTATAAAATTATTATTGGTAAAATATGTTAAAGTATTGGACATGGAGGATGAATATGTGACTCAAAGTATCGCATCATAGTTAAAATGTGTGATAAATATATTAAAAGAATTTAACTATTTATTTATTTTAAAAGCCAGCTCCTTTTAAAAATAATGTTTAATAAAGTATATTTTTAATTTAATATTTAAAAGAAATTGATGCAATGTTGTATCTTTTATAAATATCAACTATATTAATTATGAAAAGAATTTAAACTTTAAATATAAATCTTGTGCAAAAATTTAAAGTGATGATGAAAAAGTAGTATTAATCAAAACAAGAAATTAAATTATTAATTATATAAGTAAATTACTATTTTAATATATGAAATTTTGTATGTCTTTTGAAAAATAAATCTAAATTTTCATTATTTTGATTTAAATTTCTAAATTTAATTGCTCCTTATATATATATATATATATATATATATATATATATATATATCTCTAAACATAGTTATCATTTAATGCTATTGTTTAAATTAAATATTATTAATTTAAAATTATTAACAATAATTGAAATTTTAGAGATTAATTTAATGATTTTATATAATGACACTGTTTAATAAGTATTTAAAATATAAGATATAAAAAGAAAAATGGTTGGTCATGCGCTTAGTGGTAGAATCGAGATGGACATTATATTGATTTACATGCAAACGTTCCTTTGATTAGCATGTTATCGCCATTCATTATGCCTTAAAAGTAGGACTTAAAAAATGCTTAGCCTCTTTTGGAAGTTTCAAACCACACTCCGTATATCAAATTTATGCTTCATTCAACTATAACTTCCTTTTTTCTTTTGTGTTAGAAACCTTATTTAATTTCCATAAAAAGTTAGTAGAATTCATTGTTAGGGCATCATATTTGTTCTGCATGAAACCATTACATCTCTTTAATTATCATCAATAGTAACTTCGAACTCTGCTAAAAAAGGAAAAGTTGATGAAAAGTAAAGGTTATAAATTCTTATATTTGATATATTATTTATTTTAGAACATGAAATTTTATTATGATTAGAATATATATACCGATAGAATAAGTTTGCGTGGGAAGAAAATGGTGGAAGTGAAGCTTGTAGGGTTGAGCTTGTTGTGGTTGTGTTCATGGTGGAGCTTAGAGGGCGTAGAAGGAGACCCTCAACTCTTTCTACTGAAATGGGATTGCAGCGGATTCATTGCACCCAACTTATCCAACTTCAACAAAAACCTTAACGCAAGTTTTGCAGATCTGCGAGATCAGCTCAGCAACCAAAGGAAGCACTTTGCCACTGCACAAGCAACCGCCGGAACAGATCCTGTCTATGCTATGTTTCAGTGCAGAAACTACCTCTCCGACACTGACTGCGCCGCCTGCTTATCCGCCGCCGTCACCAAAATTCGCAACTGCTCCGCCGGAGCCAACGGTGCCCGTGTCGTTTATGACGGTTGCTTCCTCAGGTAGGTTTTTTTCTAGTGTCGGAATTTTAAATATTTTTGTTTCTCTTTTACTGTGATTTAAAGTTAAACATAATACTAATTATTCTTTTATTATTAACATTTTTATCTTTCACTTAATCTTTAATTATATTTATATTGATATGAAAATGAAAAAAAAAAAGTTATTATACTTACTTATTTATCTAAAATAACCTTAAAAATAGACTGTAATTTACTTTTTGTTCCCTAAGGGAAAAAAGAGAATTTTACCTAATAGAGTGAAAAAATGAGTAACACTGACTACGAAACTGGTCTTATGAAATGTAGAACTGAGTTTCAACCATGTAAAAACTGTTTTGTCTCGTTTTTGCTTTCCTGTAATATTCATGTATTTGATTGAGTCTAATTATTATATGAAAAAAAATCATTCGACAATTTTATCTTTTAAATATTCATCAACCGATCGGATTAATTTAGATTAATTTTTTATAATCAAATTAACAGCGGTTTTGAATTCGAGATTTTACTCTTCCTTTTTAATTTATTTTTTGGAAAAAATTAATAAATAATTAAAAATTAATAAATATAATTAAAAAATGTTAAAAATATTTCATCTATAAGTCGTTATATAATAGTATATAATTATTTAACACGGACTATTGAAAATGAATCTCCAGAACTTAGTAATTAAAACACTGTTTTTAATTAAATAAGTTTTCCTTAAATAAATAAAAATGTCGTGTGATAATATTATGCTGAAAAAAAAGTGATAATTTTACAAGTAAATAAGAAATAAAATCTAAATGAGTTATATAAAAAGGTTATAAATAAAAACATATGTATGTATAAATTCAATTTGATTGGTTTAATTTCTAGTCCAAAATTTGATGCAATCGAATCTAATATTCCGGTTTTTTTTTATTTGGTAGATAGTTTATTTTAAAGAACAATGCGTAGGTCTGCAGTTCACGAGTTTATGAATTGGAAACAAAGTGATGAGTTTGATGTTTGATAGTTGAAATGTGTTTGACTGTTGAGGTACGAGAGCAACGACTTCTTCGACCAGATCTTTTCTCGCAGCAGCATACTGTGTGGAAATCAGACTGCAGACGGAAGCACTGATTTTGGCGCAGTTGGAGAACAAGTGCTGATAGATCTACGAATCGGAACACCCAAAATCAGAGGCTACTTTGCAGCCACCAAAACAAAAGTGGCTGGTGGTGCAATCTATGCCTTTGCACAATGTGCTGAAACTCTCTCACAAGACACTTGTTTGGATTGTTTGTCAATTGAACAGAGCAGTGTACAAGGTTGTCTTCCCAGTACTGAAGGTAGAGCATTCGACCCTGGCTGCTTTATGAGATACTCAGAGACACCCTTCTTTGCTGATAACCAAACCATTGACATCAGTCCCTTCTTAAAACAAGGTATAGCTCCATTTCATAGTTTTTAACAAGTTTTAACTCTGAAAAACATATTGCTAGTTATCTTGTATTCTTGGACTATATATCATTATGAATTGAGATCAGGTTCTTTTGTGTCTTAAAGGAGGAGGAGGAGGAGGAGGTGGTTCAAGCAAGAAGTGGATTATTATTGGTGGTTGTGTTGGAGGTGCACTTCTTGTTGTGATCCTTATTTCATTATTTCCCTGGCATAAAAGATCGCAAAGTCCCAAGAGAGTTCCCACAAGTAAGACTATTTGGAAAGTTTTTAAGTTATGTATAAAGAAAAATCAAACTGATATTTTACTTGGCAGATAACGTTTTGGGAGCATCTGAGTTGAAAGGTGCAACCAAGTTCAAGTATAGTGAATTGAAAGCTGCAACAAGAAATTTTAGTGAGAAAAACATACTGGGAGAAGGAGGCTTTGGCGCTGTATACAAGGTAAACAAACATGAGTTGTTCAGAGCATTTTCATTTGTCAATTGAGTTCTTATATAAGCCTAAAAAAAGCCAATATTAACTTTAATTTACACATCTAACAATGTTTTGTTCTGATGCTATTGGGCAGGGGACAATGAAGAATGGAAAAGTTGTTGCAGTCAAAAAATTATTTTCAGGAAATTCCAGCGAGATAGATGACAATTTTGAAAGTGAAGTAACGCTTGTAAGTAATGTTCATCACAGAAATCTGGTTCGACTCCTTGGATGTTGCAGCAAAGGCCAAGAAAGAATCCTTGTTTATGAATACATGGCAAACAACAGTCTTGACAAATTCTTATTTGGTAACTATAACATGTCAATTACAACTATTCTGTGTTAAATTTTCCTTCTTTTTTCTCCTATAAAGTTTTTGAGCATATAAACTTGGAAGACAGGTAACAGAAAAGGTTCACTCAACTGGAAACAACGCTATGAAATAGTTTTGGGCACAGCAAGGGGATTGGCCTATCTACATGAGGAATTCTACGTGTCTATCATACATAGAGATATTAAGAGTGGCAATATCCTCTTGGATGGACAGCTTCAACCCAAAATTTCTGATTTTGGTTTGGTGAAGCTCCTACCAGGGGACCAATCCCATCTCAGAACAAAAGTTGCAGGAACATTGTAAGTAAAAATCACATACCAATGACTTAGGTTGAAAGTTTTGAAGGTTAAAATGTGTGGAATAATCTGATAATTTGTTAATATTATCAGGGGATACACAGCACCGGAGTATGTACTCCATGGTCAGTTATCAAAAAAGGCTGATACATACAGCTATGGAATTGTAGTACTTGAAATCGTAAGTGGTCAAAGGTGTACTGATGTGAAGAGTGTCGATGGTAGCCATGAATACCTTCTTCGACGAGTAAGGAATTAGCATAAGTATTTACCAAAAAAGTGTTTGTTTTGATGCATATATGTCTATAAGTTGTTTTTTTTTTACTACAACAGGCATGGGACTTGTATGAGAAAGGCATGGAGTTGGAGTTGGTGGACAAAAGCTTAGGCCCTAATAGCTATGATATAGAAGAATTGAAAAAAGTTATAGGCATTGCTTTGTTGTGCACTCAACCATCGGCTGGTATGAGACCAGCTATGTCTGAAGTAGTGGTGCTGCTCAGCAGCAATGACGCTCTTGAGGATATGAGACCTTCAATGCCTATCTTTATTGAATCGAATGGAAGACCCCCAAGAGATATCTCTGCCTCCACTGCTTCCTCTGTGTCTAATGCCAGTGCTTCCAATTCTATAGTACCTGCTAGATGATCAATTATATAGGATATCAAAGAAAATTATTTTCCTGTTTGCTTTCAAGTTGGGTACATTTATTTGTAAATCTAACTTCTTTTAAAGAATTCCTCCTAAGATTCACTAAAATTGCACATCATGATCTTATTTTTAACATTAAAGTATAATGACAGGACAACCTTTTACTACCGTGCAGTGTTTGATGGAAAATGTATATTTACTATTAGGGTAACACAGCAACACTAATAACAAAACTAATCATATTAATATTAATAGTGGTAATGGTGGTAGTGATAAGAATGATAGTGATAATGGCAGTTATAATAGTAGTAGTTTGGGTGGTAATAGTGGTAGTACTGGTGGTAATACTGATAGTGTAGCGGTTGTAGTAGTAGAAATAGTAGTAGAAGTAATAGTGGTGGTGATGATGATAATAGTGATAATGGTAGTGGTAGTAATAATAATGGTGATGATAAAAGTAGTAGTGGTGGTGGTGGTAATAGTGGTAGTGATGGTAGTAACAATACTACTAATATGACTAGTTTAAGGGTAAAGTAGGTAAAATATTTGTTTTAGGTATAAGAAAAAAGGTTTTAATTTTTTTTTTTACTATTAATATTATTCTATTAATTTAATTATAAAATTATGTTTAAGAAAAAAAATCTTCAAAACTTTTTTTACTACTAATATTTTGTTATTAAATTAATTATAAAATTATGCTTAAGGAAAAATGTGAGACCCTAGAAAATTAACTCTGCAAAACCTCTGTCAAATCAAATTTAATGCATTAAAAACCCCTCTGCAGTGCCTTGAAAACGCACCCACGTCACTTGCTCAGAATAATTAAAACCCACTTCCATAACTCTGCAACACACGCCAAGTGTTACCAGGAAAGAATTGAAGTCAGTAATGGGGGTGCAGGTGTCGACAGGAGAAACGCACGTTCGTGTGGAAGTGGGGAGAACAAAATGGATTTTCTGAAAAACTCTTCCCTTCTCCTGCACGCATCTTCTCCCTTTCAAACTCAAACTCCATTTTTCTCCTCCTTCTCTCTAGAACCTCTCATCTTCTCTCTACTGGAATTCACCATCCTCTTCTCCGATCAAATTTTCAGAACCGTAGGGACGTTCCCTGAGACGTGAGCATCATTTTGGACTGAACATATTTAGAATCTGAGCTGGTAAGTTCTCGTCTCTGACCTTTGTCCTTTAGGTATCATGCGAAACCAAGTTCTGGTTGCATGCATGGGTTATATGTCTGAGTTGTTTCTGATTTTTGGTGTTTAGATTAAGTGGAAGTTATTAAGTGAATCTGAGGATAGAACGCTGTAAGCGGACGAACCAAACCCTTGCATTAGGACGTTTCACTCACTGATCCGAGTAAGGGAAGCTTATTGATTTAATTCGTACGTTGTTGTATGTTTGCTGAAAACGAATGCATGTTGATGAATGAATGAATGTATGTATGCAGTATGAGTATGAATGCATGATGGATGATGGTTGAGATGTATGAATATGAACATGAATATTTATGGGGTATGAAATAAATCTGTATGATGATGTTGAATATGAATTATTAGAATGAATGTTATAAAGTTTATAAATTGACATTGATATGAAGTATAAAGTATGAACTGATATTTTGAAATCTGGGATATGTAATAGATGAAAAATCTGAATGTAAATTACTCCCTATGATGAAATACGTTCGTCATCGTACGGTCTTATACCGTTCGGTTTCCTAGTAAGTGACTTAAAATGGAATTCTTTCATTCGGGAAGAATTCTAAGCGAGAACGAGCGTCCTTTTGGGAAATACTATGTTTGAGCGTTCGGCTCATCATAGTGGCACCGTATACCTTAAATTAAATAATAGTATTTTACACTCTTATACTTTAAGATAAGTAGCGCTCGGTCTTATACCAAGCGTTCTTCCTAAATACCGCTCGGTCTTATACCAAGCGTTTGCCCTAAGTAGCGCTCGGTCGTATACCTAGCGTTCGTCCTAAAGAACTCTCGGTCTTATACTAAGCGTTCGTCCTAATTAGTGCTCGGTCATCTACCTAGCGTTTGTCCTAATGTAGTGTTCGGACTTATACCGAACGCTCGTCCTTACCTTGATTTCTTAACAGACGTAAATAGCGTTCGTCCAAATACTTAGTAAATGTATATTATTGCGATTCGGTCATTGACTGGCAGTCGATTCCTTTAAACAAATGGTTCTCAGCGTAGTTAATTACTCGTCTTGTTATATCTTCATCCAATTGGATTCGGCCTAACATCTTGGTACTTAAAATATTCTGAATATTGATTGTATCACTCTAGAGTCAGTTCATTCAACGGATTTGAGTAGCAATGACGTTCGTCAAATAATCATGTGTCGATTTATTCTGATTGGCAACGAGTTCTTATCGATCTCGCTTTTCACGTTCGTCCTCGTCCTTCAGAGGGTTGAACATTCGTTATTTTGGGTATTTGAAACGAAGGATGAAAATGATAATAAAGTATGAAATTTTAAAAGGTGAACACTATATGGAACGATTATACGATATTGGATTTTGGACGAGCGTTCCAGGGAGGAACGACTCATATATGTTGAATATGGAATTTGGTAAAGTATGACTGTGGTCATGCTAATGTTGGCTTGGTCCATCCTGATATTCCGTGAGTACCATCCTCACGTAGAGGGGGTATGTCATGTGTGGGAATGGCAGGAGGTTCTATTCCTTAGGGGTACTTTGGATAGGACTAACCTCGAGTGGCAGCTGTTGAGTGTATCCCAGTTACTACATCACTCGGGTGCAAGGACGCCTGTAGCTACACAGATTCATACAGTCCGGACGGTCTGTCTAGTATATATATATATATATATATATATATATATATATATATATTTCTATGTTGTTATATGTTAAGTTACATGATGTGTGAATTGAAATGTTAAAAGTATATGTTGATGTATGAATTAAATTATATAAGCTTACCCTTTCGTTTTTCCTTGTGTTGTCTATTGTCTATGTACGTTCGTCCTGTCTTGCAATGATCATCCGTGTGGATGTGAGCAGAAGGCGAGGCCACCTTGGAGGACGTGATTGAAGAAGAAAACTTAGTTGAAGTGGAAGTTAAAGCAGAACAGTAGAACGTCCGTTCTTTTTAGTTTTAGATATTCACTTTTGAATTGAACGTTCGGTTATTTTCCTTTTGTAAAACCGTCCGTTCTAAACTTTTGATATTTATGTTTTATAGTATAGAATTCCGTATTTAAGCCCTTTTGGGTTTTGGATCTTAATCATAGTGTAAGACTGTATTGATTAACGGTTAAATGTAATTAATTCTGATTTATGGTGATTATTGTAATTTGGGATGTTACAAAAAAAAAGGCTTCAAATTTTGTTTACTATTACTATATTTCTGTTTGAGAATAAAATTTAATTACATTATTATTTGTGTCTGTTAATTTTTATTGATATTACAAGTTATATTTAGTTAGTCAAAACATTTTTTCAATAAATTATAATGTTGTTTAGGAAGAAGAGAATGATTATAATCAGTCTTGATTTTTATTTTATTTTATGTTTATGTGACTTTTTTTATCGATTGATTCCATATCTTTCCTTGTTTACTTTTATTATAGAGTTTTTCTTTTGAAGATTTTGACATATTTCATCCTTGCATTTCATGGTGCATATGTACTAAATCTTTGTCCTCATTTCTAAATCTTTAGGTATTTTTTGATTTCTAATTTTCGAGAGAAACTAAAATTTTTGTTTGAATTGAATTGCAAAACTATTAACTAGGTTAGGGTTTGGCCTTTTGATAGATAATGAAGATAAAATTTCTATTGAAATAAGAGATAACATGAGTTGGAGTTGGAATTAAAAAACAATATGAAAGTTAAATGAAATTAATTACAACAATTTAATAGATAACTTTACATAAAAAAGTACTTGAAAAAAAACTTTAAATAAAAGATTTTATTCTTAATTTTGCTTCCCAAATTCTTGAGTTGCTCCTGAATAGTAATGATAATAGTAATAGTAATATTGATAGTAGTAGTTGTGGTGATAGTAATAGTAATGGTGGCAGTGGTTGTTGTATTAGTGGTCATAATTGTGGAGATGACAATGGTAATAATGTAGTATTGATAGTGGTAATAGTAATATGTATAGGTAGTTGTGGTTATAGTAATAATAGTGTAGTCATAGTTGTGGTGGTGATAGTGGTAACACTAGTGGTGATAGTGGTAACAGTGTAGTAGTGGTAATGGTAATAAGTAAGTAGTAATTGTGGTGATAGTAATAATAGTAAAAATAGAGAAAGAGAAACAATATTAATAATAATAGTAATAATAGTTATAGTGGTAGTATCAATAATAATAGTAAATAATAATAGTAGTAATAGTAAAAAAAGTCGCAAGGACATCATCACAAAATTGAAGTAAAAGTATAATTTAATGAAAATGATGGAATACAAGTAAAAATAATATAATTATTAAATGAAAAATAAAATAGATATTTTGTCTTTTGAATATTCATGTTCATCTACAAATTGTCTCATGATAATACTTAAAAAATAATATTTAGTCTTTTTGATTAATAGGAGACTATAGTGTAATATATCTTTCTCAGTTTAAAAGGTTTAAATGTGTTTTCACCTTTCAAGAATACCTTGGTTATGATGCAATTGATAAGAGAAAGATGAAATTGTTATAAGTTCATATATAAAATTATTAATTATTTTATATTCATATTTACATACAAGCTCATTATTAGTTAACTTAGAAGTGAAGCTAAGATAAATTTTGTCTTGTGTATTAATTTCTAATTGATTTTTTCAAGATATTTTAGAAACCAGAATCCAGAATGTAGGTTGGTTGTTAGACAATATTATGTATTTTGTTTTATCATTTTTTCTGATTTAATGCATCTTTCCTCTGTAACAAAGTACATGGATAAAACTTCAGGTGTAAATTTCATAAAAAGAATAACTAAAGAAAAAGTTTAAAGATAGACATTGTATAACCCATTAAAAACCTCAAATAATGGAAGTCAAGTGTCAATAAAAATAGTAGTTATTATGGACCGTTCGGTTTATCCTTGGTTATTCAGTCTCGACTGGATTTCTTCTTATGTGGAGAATTTCAGTTAATGACCGATCGGTTTTCTCTTAGTGT